ATCGCTTTCAGCTATTCTGAAGGTTAAACGCCTGTTTAGAGCCGCCTATTGAAGGCAGAGCCGGGGGTGCGGTATTGTGCGGCCGCCCGCCCGGGCGCTTTGTCTGGCTGCTTTGCCTGAATGGGAAGCGGCCTCCCCGGCCCAGCGCCCGGCAGAAGGGCTCCTGGGGGAGAGGCGCTTCCTCCCTCCCGCCCTAATGACATTCAGGGCCTCCATCGGTTCAGCTCCCGCTTTCTTTCTGCTGCAGTTTAACCCGGGCACAGAGGCCGGGCTCCATCTTACTGATCTCTGCTTGACACCCAATTACCACATGAATGGCAGAGAAAGGCTGCAAAAGGCTTTAACTCCCCCTGACCCTCCTTCCCCTCTGCCTGCTTCCCCCTCTCCCCTTCCTACCCCCCCTGCTCCTTTCTCCGGAGTTCAAAACTGTGACTGGGAAATCAAACAAAGCCCGGAGCGAGGAATCCCATTGTTACCGCTCCAGCCACGGCTCCCGTTTCGCCAGCTATTGTCCCCCGTGCGGTTTGACTTGCTGCGCGGAAGGACGCGAGCAGCTGTTTGTGCGTTCCCCTGATGTTTTATTGAAAAATAATTGAATCGTCAGTTCGAGGTGCCCTGATAAAATGTTTCCTCGTAGCGCCGGGCCCTGTCGTATTTATAAACTGCGTTTGCCTGTAAAACGCGCTGGCGACCCGGACCGTTTCCTCCAGAGTAAACCCTCGGCAGAGGGCTGCGGGCCAGTCCCTTCTGTCCTCCAAGGGAGAGGAAAGCACCCGAAGAGCAAGAAAAAGCCAGGACTGAGACAAAAGAAATTAAACCCTCTTTATTGCACGGCTCAGTTTCCAACCTGCTCTTTTGTCTGGCACAGTTGCATCTGTGGGTGGGGAAAGTCGGGTGTAGCCAAGGCCGGGCAGGTCTGGTCGGCTGCCTCTTGCCCCGTTTTGGCCGGGCTAAGTGCCGCGGCACCAGCCAGCTGGGCATACCGGGTCCTGCCCGGCCCTGGCGCACGCGGGGAGGTCTCACGCTTGGATCCACGTGGGAGATTTGGCATGGGAAATTCCGTATAAAAGGTTTAGCCTAAGTCAGTCACAGTGCGACGGCCCTGAGCTTGACCGAGAGGGCACATGTTAGCGCTAAACTGAACTAGGGTGCTTGCTCCTCAAGGCGGGAACCCCGTCTTTATGTAGCTTTCCTTTATGTGCTTGTTTATCAAATGCCATCTATGTTTACAGCACTGTAGAAATAACAATGTCAGCATTACACTTTCCCCATCCCCAAACATATGCCAGAGAGTTGGGTGATGCTCTGATTTCAGCACGCTCTAGGGAGGCAAGAATTGCTCCTCTTCCCAAAAACACAACGTCCATAAAAAACGTCTGCTATATCTCATGTGATCACTGGCTATTTTTCCAGGGCAATTGTCACGGGAACCAGACTTGGATGCTTGAATGAGCGAAACTGGTGTTTATGATTACTGTTTTCTTTTTTTTAACATTATTTCTTTTTGCTTTTATAAGGAAGCACTGACACTAAATCTGTAATATTCTGTTGTATTTCTAAAATTCAGGAATTGAGATGCATTTAGGAGTCAGTTCTCCTATTACTTGGTGTCATAAACGATTTCTGGAAGGAAGAAGAATAGCTCGTATCTAACTATAACTACAAACACTGATCTGGAATCCAGACTACCAGATCCCCTGCATACACGGTGCCTCAGCCGGTTCTGAAGTGCAAAGAAATAAGACTGTCGTCTAAGGCTTTTCTTTCCTCGGCCAGTTCCCCACGCAATCAGTTCAACATCCGAGGCTGTACGTCTGAGATACCCAAGGGCGCCGGGGCTTAGAGGTATCTGAAATCCAACTAGACTTTTTGGCTGAAGACCATGGTCAACGGCTTCATGTCTGTGGCGTAACCTAAGGCCAGCAGTGTCGGCCGCGCTCGTCTGCGCAGGAGACGGGCCTTTCTCGGGGCCCTGGCCCAGCCTGGAGGACGATCTCCGACGCGAACAAAAGGCCGTTGCGAACCCCCATCACCTTCTGCTCTCAGGGTGAGGCGTACTTTGACCCCCTTTAGCATAAACGTAGGGCAGTCTGTCTGTGTGAATTTATGCCCGATGCACGTAACGCGCCATGCAGATGGGTACACGTTGCGTTTCTGTGTCTGGCGTGGCTTAGGCGTACGTGTGTTATTTACATTCAAACGCAGGGACGAGGGAGGGAGGGAGGGTGAAGGGGCTGCGGTCTTTCCGCCAGCGCTGCC